AATTTTGAATATTTGACCCGTTTTTGACTTTGCATTAATCCTTATACAAAACCCGGATTTATGACAGTTTTAACTGTTGAGAAAAACTGTTATATGACAGTTTTAACAGTTTTTCAGACAAGGAAGGTTTATAACCAATTTTTAGTCAGTTTTCTGATACTCACGAAATTACACCATCTCATTCTCTTTCTTTCTCTCTGATTTTCTCTGAGTCTTATCCAATTGAGGATTTGGGAGTACCACCAAAATACTTCGATTTGAAAGTGATTATCATGATTCTCAGATTTCCAAGTGCCACTAAACCATATTTCTAACAATTTTTATTCTGTATAACATAAATTATAAATTTTGTTTTCTATATCACAGTTGCATTAATTTTCCATCAATTTACAACTACACCTAAATGGCTAAATCCATAAAAGTCCTTCCATGGTGCGCCAAGCAAGGGAGGATAACAGTGTGAAAATTGAAAATCGTGTACAAATTAATAATAGAGCAAAAAAAAAAAAAAGATAAGTAATTAACCTTAACTTAAAAACAATTACAGTATATGGTATTTGAAGATCAATCATATATACTCAAATTCTTGATCTCAAGATCAAGATGAGGCGGATGGTTGGTGTTACACTAACATGAGCCATCGACATCACCAACAAAAAAGTGAAAAACTGTGGAAAGATGTTTTTTTGGTGATAAACCAAATACATGACTTTAATTCAGAAAGGATGTATAGCATCAAAATGAAAATAAGCATTACCAATAAGAGGATTGTTAACAATATGGATCAAGTATTGTCGAGCAGAGTGATAGATTGAAGTAATTGAGGTGATGAAAATGAGCAAGAACGTGGCGATTGGTGCCATTGTTGAGAGCTAATTGATCAAGTGCGTACTGTGTTTTTGTGTGTGTTTCATGATATTCCTGGCCTTTAAAATAAATGTCAACTACCTGCTTCAGTTCGTTGTGTGTATTTGCACTTTATTGCCTTTAAATTCGATTTCAACTACCTGCTTTTGAAAAAGAAAATGAAAAGGATAACTGGGGTTTGCCTTTTTAATATTCTGAATTCAGAAAGGTGTTTTTTTTCCCAAGTGGATAACCATTTTGATTTTGACATAATCTTATTATTTCAACATGGCGTACAATGGAAGTGCAAACATTGGTTTACTGGAATGTAATGTAATTAGGGGATTGGAATCCAATTTCACCTATTCCTGTTTTTGATTCAACTTTTTGAGATAAAATTAAATTCTTAAATGAAAAAACTCTCAACCAATAGAATGAAAGTGAATTCTTTAAAGTTCGGATGAAATTAATTTCAAATCATCAGGAAAAGTGCAAGATTACTTTATTACATTCTATCACCATCACTACCAACACCCACAACTACTGTCACCGACCACCAACCGGCAACCGCCACTGCCACCACCACCGCCACTACAACCACCACCATTCACCATCACCGCTACCACCACCACCAACGCCGCCAATACCACCGCCACCACCACCACCACCCGCCACCACAACCACCGCTGCCACCATCACCAGATCGACATCATAGGCTCAAGTTGTTATCGTTTTTTACTTCGTTTTTTCATTATGCGTGTTTATTTGTTTTATTTGAATTATAACTAAGTCTAAGATAATAAAATGTTGTTTAGAAAACATTTGGAGGTGAAAAAACAAAAAACAAAAACTTTAACAAATGAAGATGAAAATTGTTATACCAAAGAAATAAATATTGTTAAGGCCTCATTTTTTGTTTTCCACCCCGAGATCTCTAAACCAAATTACCTTTTTTCTGTTTTCACACGAAGATAAACAAAAGATCATACAAGTCAAATTTCAAATAACAACTAGAAGCAAAATTATTACTATTGTAAATGAATATGATTCTACAAAAACAAAGGTGTGGATGCAAATACTCACACTCACATGTGCATTTAACCATCCATGTACACGAACGAGACTTGAATAATGTGTGTATACACATTACTTTATTGTTATTTTTTAGCATTAATATTATATTGACAAAAAGTTAATATTAAAAACAATACGCTCAAATAGTTAATTACCATTTTTTTTTCATTTGCGTTCATACACCCATTTCTACCTACGCATTACTTGGATACTTAATAAGTTAGCGTCGAAAATAAGTTATTTCAAAATACAACACTAAAAGAAAAATACAAAATCCATTTCGTGAACACCAACTTTTACAAATTAAGCTTGATATTAATTTTTATAACCCAGCAGAAGATTAACCCGACGTGTAAACGTTTTGAAAATGAACTACGTTAAAGAACCTGGGATTTGAATATCAACGTATGACGTATTTATACTCGGATTCCCGATCTGAAGATCACGATTAGACGATCATGGATACTTGGTTTGAGCCACTATATAAAGTCGCCATAAAAACTCGGTCCAAAGATATTAATTTTGGCTAGCTATAAACTGAAGCGAAGTATTTCAGAAAAGATGCATCACGCCAAAATGAAGATAAGCATTTCCAAGAGGACTGTAAGTAACATGGATTGGGTGTCGACGAGCAAAATCAAAGATGGAAGAAATCGAGGTGATGAAGATGAAGAAGAAGGTAGTGATGGGTGCCATTGTTGTTGAGTGTGTGTGTGTGTGTTTGATATTGGAATCGATTCTTTTGGGTTTAAATTTGATTCCAATTGCTTTGCTTTAACATAAACAAATGAGGGAAAAGATTTAAGTGGGGGTCTGCTTTAATTTTAGTATTGTGAAAGTCGGTTTGAATTATGTGGATGCTGACATGAATTGAATGCTATCATATTTATCAATCGCATAAACTAAGTAGAAGTTGGCACGATTCGTCCTTGTTCTATTTTTAATGGGCATATTAAGTTTCTTAAAGAATTTTCTTCTGCTAATTTTGGCTACAACCAACAACCAAGTTTTTATAGTTGAATCGTTTTAGTGAACATATACATAAATAGGTAAATCACCTACTCTTCCTTAGAGTATATATAATTGAAGCTTTTTTCGATTAAACAATTATTGAAATTTAAATTAAACTAATGAAGTAGCTTTTTCAAACCAAGTTTTTTAAAAAATTTCTTAATTAACAAACTCTTAACATGAATTTTTCAATAATTGTGTGGATCTGATGTGTTTTTAACCGATTGCAAATAAGACAACACATACAAACAACTCGTCTTAACTAATCTTACCGTCTAATTAAAACAAGTTCTTTAATTGAAGTCATTAGACGATACTAAATCAGTCGACTAACGATTAGGCCGAAACACTAAATTGTGAATTCATAAAATTTTAAAAATTAAATATGACTAATGTCATACCAAAGTTGGTAAATACTACTAAAATCATAAGGTGATAAGGAAATAGGTTAATGTGATTAATACA